TCTACCCCTCATTTACACTTTTCTGGCCGAAAACTCTCTCCTTCTCTTTGTAACCTCTCATCCGTAAACACCAAAACCACCCTCTTTTCTTTCGAAAATCATCAAGAATCACCTTTGGAGGCTGTTTTGGAACATCTAAAACGCATTTTTCATCGAATCCAACATTATTGTTCTTGAGTTTACGGTCGTACACCATTCAAACCTTCAAATCTTCAAAGACTGTAAACCCATTTACGGCCGTAAACCCTTCAAAGATTCATAAATCCTTCAAGAACATTGTTCACGACCGTAAACCCTTCAAGGGGCCGTTCACGGCTGGAAACCCTTCACAGCCGCAAACTCCTTTACAGCGTGAATCTTGGCCGCAAATCCACTTTTTCACCTCGATCAGTCTTGGTAACATTCCTAAACCAATAACAAGTGTTTTTCCAACACTATAAATAATGGTTTCGCTGATAAAATACAATCATGTATTTAATTGTTGATTAGGATTCCATTGATTACCGCGTGCATACAACCAAGGGTTTCCACTTCCAGTCTCGCTATTTGACTAATCACACGACCAACAGTGAGTTCATACCCCTATGCTTTTACTATTTTTAATGTTTTCAGAAGGGGGGGGGGGGGGGGAATACAAGCCAAACACAAATGATTTTGTGAACTTATACAAAAGAACTTCAACAAGTTTAAAACTTATACAATTAATACAACCAAAAAATTTCCATGTTTTATAAAATATTTAGATATTCTATCCCTTTTGTAACATGCTGAGCAAAGGGACGTTTTTCAACATACAACCATAATTGCATAGTCTTCAGATCAATACACGAATCAAGCACACAACATACATGCAAACTATAATAGATATAGTTTGGGATTTCAATACGCAGTTTTATGAATTCTGAGTTATACATTGCAAAACATATAAACTATGAAAGATTTAGTTTATGATATACATTACTACATTCGGACTTCAAGAGTACATCATTAAATAATTATTGAAGTATAATTATTACCCAATAAAGTATACACACATATTCAAATACAAAAGAACCATATAGAGCTACACGTAAACTAGTTAATACAGGATTGTGAGACAACACTTCAATTGTACCTTTCGGGGTACAGGTTAAATCCTATCATAGTATAACCAGAGTCTCCTGGAGGGAGAGCGTGAGATTTGTGAATAGATCTATTCGGGACTGACAATCCTACACCTGAACTGCTAGCTACAGTTAGGCAGACATGCCTGGGGTGACAAATGTCATTTAACCGACACTTGAGGAACGTCTTAAAGGTCACTAGGTCATGTCCAACATGGTTATACGACTCACAATAATATAAACTAATCTTATTGTTTATGGGATTTCCTTATCCTTTAGTTTTATTTTCATTAATAAAACTAGTTCATAATACAACTAGAGGACTCCAGGGATTTCAACTCATAGTTTTATTTTAAAGTAATGAAACTACCTTACATACTGATGGTAACTAGGGTTTTCAAACAGAACATTCTATACATTACTGGTGATAGCCAGGTTTTTCATACAAAGGGATTTTCATTCAAAACAACATGATATAATACAGCTGGTGGTAATCAGACATACAAACTAATACATTATACACTACTACATAACACAGTAATAAACATATATGATAGAAAATATTGGATTTTCTTAGGAAGCACACAAACATTTTACAGATTCAATGGCCAATTTCTCATTGAAAAAACATGCTTATGAACTCACCAGCTTTTATGCTGATACTCTCTTTTCATAACCGCTTGTATTCTCAAGAAATCAGTAGACATATACATTGGCAGACTTTTGAGAAGACGTAGCGTATAGAGTCTCATCTTTATTTTTGCTACTTTTAATGTATATAAATATGAAGCAAACAGATGTAAACATTTTTTATACATATTCAATGAAATGGTTGTGTTTATTTTGATTACTATGATGCAATTGTTGTGATACTGCATATGATATCATCCACCCTCGAACGTTTCCGCCATCCCGGTTTGGGCTGTGACATAAGAGTAGGATTGGAAATGAAGGATACAATTTTAAATCAAGGATTATAAATGATACAAGTTTGTACTAATGGAAAACAAAACCTTTATAACATGTAAAACGGGGATGAAGTTATGGATTTTGTTAAGAATCAAACTCAAGTGTTAACCATGTTGAAACAAGTCATCACATGCTTAATAATAAGATATGATATGTGAAATGGTGCAAAGAGTTTAATCTTGTAAGGTGTGCAAAAGTAGATTTCCAAAAGTATGCAAAACAAGATAGAATTGAAGTAATCTTAAAAAAGGATTTTTGATGTATGAATTACATCAAACATATTGTAGACTATGAGAAGACTTCGAGAACAAAATCCTTTTAAGGGGAGTGATTGTAACATCCCTTAAAGTTTGAATGATAAGATTGCATGTGAATTATGATGTAAAAAGGCAATTCGGTCAAAAATGGTAAAAGTCATGAAATTTTAAGTATCAAGTTGGTTAACACATTTTCAAATGATCGAATGATATTTACAAATTGTTATTTGATTATTTATATCTAGTTTTAGTCCTTTGATAGTATTATATGAATTATAGGGGTAAAGATGGAAGTATTGCTAAGTACCAAGTTACAGTGCAAAGTTGTGGCGTATAATCTTGTGTTACACGATACGCAAAGCATGTTTGATGTAGAACAGTGAAGTATGTTGCTATAAGAGGAAATGATATCCTATTATGAGCTATGTGACATATATTTAGAGTGTTTCATGATTGTTCAAAGTGTGATGTTATATGCAAAAGGAGACACGACACATGTTGTGGATGGTGTATTGCAACTTAATGAAGACCATGTCGTGTCCATGCGAGTTACATAACACATACACTGTGATAAGATCATGTCTTTATTAAGGTTAAGATTAGCCTTTTTACATCATTTCTCATATTATATATAGGCTTGTTTAGGCTCGCGAGCCTAATCGAGCTTAATGATGTAGGCTCGAGCTCGAGCTCGTTTAATAAACGAGCTCAATAGTAAGCTCGAGCTTGACTCGGGCTCGTTTAAAATCGGTTTTGAGTCGCGCTTTTAACGAGCCAATCCCGAGTAACTCACGAATAGCTAGGCTCGTTTGCACCCATAGTTGGATGAGATTATGGCGCTATCTTGATATGGAAGCGAGGCCCCGTATCGGATGTCATAATTTTATTTAACTCAATCATACTATGATCTAAACTTACTAAGTAGTCATCCGGACACCAAATTATTGCGACTTTCTGTAAGTTACAAAATATTGATTAGCTTAAGATCTTTCCTATATGTCATTTTCAGAATCACAGCCCTTTAACTATTGATCTCAGCCACGTCAGAATTGATCCTGAATACCTTGTCTCTGTTTTCAACATATATGTTTGTAACAGAGAGACTTTATCTAAACATAATCGATAGGTGGCTACGACAACATACAATCGTTCTTGAGTTTGAAGTCACTAGGCTCACTTTAGAAATAATGACTACAAAGTCTATGTTTGCACCTTTCCATACCCTTCTCCTCCGAGGGATTTCCTTTTCCTTTGTATGCTCTTGATGACCTACCCTTTTACAAAAGGTTAAAATAAACATGTACAATATCATACCAATATTATTCTAAGTATTTGTGGAAAGCTATCATATAGATTTAGAGTTTTCAAGTTTTGGGTTTTCCAAGATACATAACTATTATCGGTCAAAATTTAGGTTTAACGGTAGATAGTTTGATTCCTATTCAACTAAGCACTATTGTGTTAAACATATAGTTTGTTTCCTAATCAGCTAAGCACCATTGTGTTAAACATAGTATAAAATTTATACAATATCGGAATGAAGGGACGCAAAATTCTACATAAACCTAAGACATGTGTTCACAACTTTCGTGTTTTACATTTTCCAAAATTAAGACACTTAGTGGGCGGTTTTCTATTTCGTGTTCATTAGACCTATTTTCTCATAGAAGCTAAAATATAAAGTTGGAATTTTTTTCTTTCCTAAATTTTAAACTCGATAATTAAAGAAACTAAAAATAAATATGATTTATCTAACCTCAACAAAGATAGAAACATAAGTTAAGACCACATAATGGTAAGTGTTAACTCTTACCTTTTATGTATGTGTTCCTTGTTCGGGATGAATGAAAGTTTATGTTTAACACAATTTTCTTAAAACAAATAAGACCTTCATTCCATGCTTTTTTTCCCATGATAAAACTGCAAGAAAACCACCGAAACTCGATAAGGTCATAATCTTACATAATACGATAACATGAAAGTTCCATAGTAACTTTTGAGAAAAAAGATAGTTTTTATTTTTTTTTTCTTCAGTGTGTCATGTCTAAGAAAGCTTGTATTTGCATAGCATCAGCACAAATCCTAACCGAAAATTAAACAAAATATTGTAACCGAGATTATATATGATTCCGATCTTAAATACGAAACCAAAACCATAACTTAATTCCAAAACTGAAAATTAAGTTGATATCAAACACAAATTCTACATAAAAGATCATAACCTACATTGTATTCAAATTGGTTCTTAATTACACAACCAAAATGGGAAAAACTCATTTCCCTAGAATAGGATAAACCATTTTCCCAACATGTGCAAGCTTATGCTAATCCATACACTCTGATTGGAGTATCAGCTTTGGTATTTATGAGGTGTGTCCAAATCTCACCTCGTACAGATACAGGTGGTGGGACACGGTTTTGCTATTGCAGTTTGTCGGGATGTCCCCTCCACTGTTTAGTACGGTGTAATATGGCTCCATTACCTTTGCAATGTATATCCTTCACACCCTATCTTGTCTTCTTCTATATTATCATCAATAAAGTAAAATGTGTTTATAAACTTATATTACTTCTTTTCACATGTTATTTAATCCATATATAATATGGCAAATTTCGAAAAAAAAAGTTACATATTTTGTCATTTACTTGATAATACGATAACAAGATTAATGGGTCGAAATTTTTTGGTTATCAAGTTGGGTTGTCAATATCTAAATCAATCGTATCAAATATAAGAAATTTACATTTTTGTATGTAAATTTCTGGGTCAAGAATCAAAACAACATATCAAATTTACGAACATATTGTAATTTTCGTTTTGGTCATTTTGTGTTTACCCTATTGGTTTCCTTTTTTGTAAACTTAATTAAAAAACCAAGGGTGTCCATTTTTGTCCCACGTGATCCAAGAAACACAGAAATAATAAAAAGCAAGCAAATTTAACTTGTTAAAAACAGCAATTTCATACCAAAAACATCTGAAAATAAAATAGTCTCAAACTTTTTCTAAATCTACATTTCAAATAGGTAACTTGAACCTCGAATGCATTAAACAAACACCATAAAAAGAAGAAGAAACATATAACACTTTCATCTCCAAGTTCACTTGTCGCGTATATTTTTAGATATTTTGTGAAATTACTATTTAGTGCATGGTAGGGCGAGGTGCACGTGGGCGAACTGGAGTCTTTGAAGGACTCACCCTACATCAAACCAACATAAAATTCATAAATTAAAAAAATAATAATAAAAAAAAAACATATTTTTTATTTAATGAAAAAAAAAACATAATTTTTTTGATTTTTAATCAATCAATCAACATTCAATCACCTTATGGGCAGTGATCCCAATACTGCACCACTACAGTTGAGCGCTGTAATTGCACTTTCTGCCTGTAAAATTAAAAGGGCAAATAAGTAAAATCGGTTGGTGACTTAATACATTAAGCCACGTTTTTTGGGGTATTATTGGAATTTCACTTTAAGCAAGAAAAAAAAAAATACCATAACAAACTCCACAAATGCGATACGAGTTGAATGATGATAGTCTCCTAGCAACCTCAAACGATAAACCTATAAAACATTAATTTCAATAAGATATAATTAATTAACAATTCACGTTACAAAAGCGTTTTTTAAATATTGTAAATGAAATTATGAATTAACAAATTAACAACCACAAACCTCTCCACAAAATGACTCGAAAAAGAGCTTAACATCTGCCTGAGTAACCTGTTTTAAACAAAAATAGAAAATTACACATATGCCCCCATACTTATATTCATGAAAAGTAAAAACAATCTTAAATTAGTAAATTACCTTCTTGTCAATGTTAGTACAATAGATAGTTCTAGCACACATTTCCCTTTCATCTTCAGACTAAAATAACACAAAGATAATGATGTCAAAACACACACACACACACACACACACACACACAGTAAAAACACATTCATAATCATAGTTTTCTCCAAAAGTGAAAGAAACTTACTCGAGGTAAAAAAGTGGGATTCACTGGTGCAATTGCAGTTTTTGAAGGAAGAACCCTAACTGGGTAATACCCAAGCATAGTTCCAGCAAGATTCAATGCATTTCTTGCTCCTTCTGCAAACAGATAATAAAAAAAATGTTAAAATGAATCACAGATTTGATATATTAGAGAATTAGCATACCTTCATTAGTAAACTCAATAAAGGCGAAACGAAGAACAGAATTAGGGTCTCCACATATACGACAATCCACAACCTATTAAAGTAAAAACAGGTTGAGTTAAGAATCAAGGAGTCATAAATCATGATTCATGAATCATGATAATGATGTAAACAAAGAAATTATGATGATTTGGTTGATGTATTTAGGGTTTTACCTGTCCACAAGTGATAAAGAGAGCAGCAAGTTGTTCTTCAGTTACCTGAATTCATGTCAAACAGAATAAGGTTTGAAAGATTGGATAGATTTGTGGAAAAAATTCAAAGAAGATAAGGAATTAAGGATCTTAACCTGTTGATCGATGTCAGAGACATGAACAGTTCTCCTAATCACATCTTCTCGTTGTGCCATGGTGGTTCTGTTATTCATCCTTCGTTTCCCATGAGTAAAGTTACCCTTCTTCTAACCATTAACATAAGAAACTCAGAAGAGGTGTTCGTTTTGGAAATTATCATCAATGAAAAGAGAAGACAAGAAGACAAGAAGACGAGAAGAGAAAAGACATACCCTTCTAGTGGAAACGCCATTGATGTTGGGAAAAGGGGTTTGGTTAGTTTGAAGGAGGAAATCGTTGACGACAGAATAACCGAAGTGAGCAGCAGTAGCACCAGATGGGGGAAGAATTAGAGCTCCGGTGTAATTGTTGTTGGTGAGTGAAGGGGGGACGAATTCTTCAGCCATGGGATTCAATTTCGACAACATTTCAGCCAAATCCCTCATTTCTTTCTTAAAACCCTCTTCCTCATGATCATGATGATCGACACCGTTTACCTTCATCTGATGATGGTGATGATGATGATGATGATTTAGAACGGTGTTTCCGTTTCCATTTCCATTAGGTATCATCTTCTTCTGCTGATGAAAACTGGAAATCGAAATCGATGATTTCGACTGATCAACATCGCCTGATTCGACCCGATTGTTGGACGCAACATTCTCAACAAGAGTCATGATGATGATGTTGTCGATCGACGACTCACCGACTGACAGTATCACCAAAAGGGCTTTTTGATTTTTCTCTCCTTGTTTTTTTACCCTTCTGCGAATTCAGCTGATTGTAGCCATGAAAATCCAAGATTTGACTTTGATTAAAAAACAAGAGCTTAAAATAATCAAAAGAAAGAAGCTGAAAGTATCGAGTTTAGAGAAGAAATTACCTGTTGGAAGAGTATTAAATCATTGAATTCAACTCCGAAGATCGACCCTTGAGAGAGAGAAAGAAGAGGGGTTACATCAGTTGCATATATATTAGAAGAAATTGGGAAAAAAGAACATTACTTTTTTTTCTTTTAATGATGAATCACCATTCCCCAAATGTTTGTCTTCTTCGGATCGTCGCTTTTTCGCACATTACTTTTGAGACATGCCACAAACACCCAAAACATTTTCCATTATCTAATACTAAATACTATATATTTTAATATATTTATGTTTTATCAATTACAAAAGTTTGTCACATTATTTATATGGAACCTCATATACATACTTTCTAACTTTCTATGCCACTATTTTTTAAAGTCATAGCTTTGAATAAAATAGTTTTACATTGATTTCCATTTATATCGACTTATGATCCTTTGGGTATATAAATGATCAATAAAGTCGTTATGGGAAAACTAGGATTGAATAAAATATTGTTGCATTGATTTCAATTTATATCGACTTATGATCATAAGATTATGTATTATATGCTTCTTTGGGTATATAAATGATCAATAAAGTCGTTAAGGGAAAACTAGAATGCTCTCACTTTAGGTCATTGGATTTTACGTACATTTATGCCAATTAATAAAATCAGGTATAACATTTTGTTACATAAACACGTTTATGGATCATTTTAGTGTGAAAAATATAAAAGTGTCAATTATTTGAAACGGACCAAAGTTCCCTTGATCAATAATACGATCCTTTTCATTTTAAGAATATCGTTTTCGTTAAAGAAAGAGTTCTAATAAAGGTCTCATTCTTTTTTAACTTCAAACTCTATGGTCAATGTTAATTAATTTATTGAGTTCGTTTCCTTATTTTTCTGAAGTAAACATGATGTTACCTCGTAGGAAATGTGTCCCATCAAACTCAAGGGTAAATTAGTGAGATCAAACCATTAACGATTCATGGTTTTTCTAAAAGTGACATTCATGATGGTTTTAGGCCTTCCGGTTCCTTTTTCTTCATCATTTATTCCACAATTGAATTTGTTTCATTTAATAAGTATACATAAGAAACTGTAATTATTTCACATAGCTTGGTTGGCAAACCATAATCAGTGTTGAATATGTGCATATGTCAACATATTGATGTTACTATCAATGATATCTATCAACGTTATCTAAACTTATTGGGTCACACAAATGAAAAATAGTTGATAAATATATACATTTGAACACTTTTAGAGCACATTACAATGTTTATAAGGTAGCAATGGTATCATATTGCATAAGTTTCACATTTTAAAAGAAGCAACAAAACACACATCCAACTTTCCGAGTAGAAAAACATTGCATATAGACTCAAGTATTAAATAATATTCGTTCACAAGAAAAAAAAAAAAGGTATAATGCAATGCATGATGTTGACTTACATATCTAAATACCAATTCAACTCGTGAAAGTCATATTTTCCTTAAGATAGTGGTTTCCCCAAGAACATGCTTGTATGATAACACAAAGGCATACACGACAAACAAATGTCATATAGGATTGATGGTGGAGTTAACTACCGAATAGTAGGTAGCATTTAAAACACAACCACACGTTCCACAAGGGCTTGCAAGACTGATGAGCCTCATTATGTGATGACCTTTTAAAATAAATTCCAGTAGAACTTCCCTTTACTCGTATATTGTCAAATTGTTTGGACCATGCTTTGTTTATTCCTCCATAGCCCTTATAACCCTTATGAATGAATAAATGCAACATGTACATGATTTATGCAACCGTTTCAGACGGCTAGGAATGGGCAACGGGTTCTCCCGTTATTCCAACGTGGCGCCAAGAAAACGCCGGTATAACGGCGCAAACACCGGCCCTCTTAGTTGTTATACCGCGTTATGGGAAAACACGTTGTGATGATAACGTGTGCAAACGGGTTAATTTCGATCGAAAACAATTCCAACGTTCATATTTTGAACCGTTTAACAACGGTCAAAAAAAATAATTTTTTCGATCTTTTACCTCTTTACACCTAAAATATCAAGGTATTCTATCATGTCGCTTTTAAATATCTTAAGATTGATTATGCAAATTCATCTATTTAACAACCTTAACATTATAATTTTCTCAACTACTTCAAATACACACGTTTATATTTTGAAATAGATTAGAATTATTAAACAGTTTTCTAAATACCACTCTGTACTTCGCAAGATCACTTCCCAAGATCTTGGGTATGACCACGATATTTAGTACATTTCAAGATCTTAAGCATTTTAAAATTGAATATCTTATTCTAAATATCACACCACACTTACTAATTCGGTTACGACATTAGCTTATTAATTTTTGACACAATTTGGCGTCATTCGTAGGACAAGTGGTGTTATTATATTTTTTCATAAGATTATTCAAAAATCCTTTTCTCATATTTTTAATTACTTATACATTCTCCACTTGGAGGGTGTTTTAAGAGCCTTAAGAGTGGTTCAAACATGGACTTTGATGTAGAAAATTACTCATAAATAATAATTAGAATTGAAGTGTAAGAAAGCAAGATCTTTTTAACACCAAATAGGAAGCAATTGACCTACAATTCCAATTAATTTCGCTAAAAATTGAAGTAGGAGTACATGAGGGAGTAATACCAAGAACTTACCTTGGGTTTTAATTGTTCAAGAGTTGAACAATGGAGAGGATCTAGAATGCTCTTATGATGGCCAGTTTTTAGGAGCCCTAGATAGGTTTCTAGAAGCCTCTATTTGATAACTAGGAAACTAAATAATTACATGTTTTGAAATATTATAATTATATGCTCAAATCTAGGGTTTCTAGGCTTTCCAGTCATCTACAAATAGAGTCTTAACCCCTAGGATTTTCGGCTGACCTATTCTAAAGAGCAAATCTGAAAATCCCTTCTCTCTCACCTCTCTCCTCTCAGTCTTATAGTTTCTTGTGTTGTAGGTGTGAAACATTAGAGGCTCACACATTATTAGAGCTAGGTTTTCCAAAAAGAAACAAAGATTTTGATTAGCTTGTTTGGATCTACAAAATGTATGTGTTCCAAACATGAATTTCGATTCATAGGATTTAGTTTGTGTTTTTTCATAAGTATGCTGCTATTAGATGTGAAAATTCATAAATCCATTTGAGGTTGTATGTACCTTTAAGTGTTAAGATAATTTTCTCATGTATTTGTAACCTAAAATTCCCAATATCTGTAACATCCAGATTTCAGGGATATTATTGTAAAGGTTAATCTTGGGTTTCAAGGGGGGACTCGACGAGTTGAGGGTCCAACTCGTCGAGTCGAGTCGGGATCCTTCAGGGAATTTAATGAGTGGACTTGACGAGTCAGAAGAGGGACTCGCTGAGTAGATACTGGTCCGAGAAAAACCCTAAGTTCCGGGTTTGGAGCGTATTTAAAGGAACTTATGACCTTGGGTGCGCCTCATATCCTCTGTGAGAAACCCTAAATCACCATGGGAGCTTGGGGTGAGTTCTTATGATGAAATCAAGTGATTTAGTGAGTTGTGTGGAAGGAAAGGTGCATGAATCAAGCAAGGAACGAGATGGAGGCTGTGGATCTAGCTTATCTTCTCATAGAGTTGTTGTGGAAGGTATGACCTTGCATCCTTTTCATCTAATTGTGATTAGACCTCTAGATCTTGGGAGTATTAGGGCTTAACTCCCCTTATTTTATCTTTGAGCTAAGTGAGACATGATCTGAGGTGGGAAACCTCAGATCTGAGCCTTGAGAGGTCCTTAGAGGCTAAATGCCTCAGCTTTAGTGGCCTAAATGAAGGTTGTTGAGCAACAACCTTCATGAAGAGTGTGTTTTGGTGTTTTGGAGCTATAACACCGTGCATTAGCATAAAGATCGAAACTTTATGAAAGTATTAAGCCTTGGAATGATAGATCTATAGATTAGAGTGTTAGATCTGGTTGAAATCGTCTGGATAAGGAAAATTTTAAATGGACTCGACGAGTTGGCTAGGGTTTCATGTCTAGACTGAATCGCGATGTAGCCCGGCGAGTCGTGGAGTCAACTCAACGAGTTAAGCTGGATCTTCAAGAGACTTCGGGAAGGTCAGTGAGCTCGACGAGTCACAAAGGTGTACTCGCCGAGTCGGGCCAAGTGGGATTGTTGACTTGAGTTGACTTCTGTTAACTGTGGGGTCTTGGTCAACATAAGTAATAGAGACCATGGAGGGGTAAAATGGTCTTTTATCCACTTCCCAATTAGAGAGGGAAAGAGTAATCATCGGTTTAATTAGAGATATTTGCCTTATCTGTTAGGCGGTGGCGAGTTCGAGATTCGAGTGTGAGGATAGCTGCTTTCTGCTTGCCAGGTGAGTCTTCTCACTATATCTTACCTAGAGTGGTAATTAGAGTTATGTGACAGAGTATTTTGTATGCTATTTATGTGATGTGATGCGCTGCATTATTTCTATGTGATTTATGTTGTGTGTGTGTGTGTGTTCCAGCGTATACAGAGTTATGACCAAAAGGTCCACAGAGTTAGGACCAGAGGGTCCACAGAGTTAGGACCAGAGGGTCCATAGAGTTATATATAGCCTCGAGTGGCTAATATGTGTTTTATGTGGTATTTTTGGGAACTCACTAAGCTTCGTGCTTACCGTGTTATGTGTTATGTGTTTCAAGTTTTCCTCTCGTAATCGTGAGATGACACCGGCTTGATTGTACACACCATAGAAAGAGTTATGAGAATCCTGGATTATTAATGGAGTTGTGCTTTGTAATTGAATAAAAGAGATTTTTATACGAGATCTTATGAAGAGTATGCATTTTAAAAATGAATTTTTTTTTTTTAAATTTTCACGTTGTTACAATATCAATATCAGAGCCTTGATTTTCTCATTAATGGTATATAATAGATGAAAGTAGGAAACACAGAAAAATCGACAAATTGTTCCGCCACGTTGTGAGAAGTCCTCTGTCATGACGTGAGATCTCTCTGGAAGGCGATATCCGGATTTTCTTGCCTTAATTCAAAAGATATGATAATTACTAGTTAATCCATATTATTTTAAATGTCTAAAATCTGAATATATTAACTAGATAACTAAGAATCCTAATTTGAATATAAGAGGAATATTAAATAAGATAATTATCTATTATAAGATCATATCATTATCTTAATAAGATTTAAGAAAATAATTAAAAGTATAATTAATAGATAATTCTTAAATCATATTCAAATATTAATTATTAAAGGTT